TGGTGTACTCGTGGTTCATTACTACAACGCAATAAGCAGGTATGTATACTTTTCATATAAGACAGTAGTTAAATACGACAAATAGTTGATTCTTGTAGTAAGAACACTGGTTTGGGTTTCAAATTTTAATATATATGTGGAATAGGTCTATAAATGTTCGGAAAATTTGAGCTGTAACTACAAATTCTCGGATTGAAGCTAGATAAATCTTTCCTGGCTTTGCATGTTTCGGATCATTTTTTGATGCAGAAATCCACATTCTTTGATATACTCACTCATTATATTATGGATTACCACACAACATTTGTTTCAATTTGTTCGGACTCCAACACTTCTTAGAAAGAATAGGTTTTGTGGAATTCTTTGAAATTGATAAAAACTAAAATAGTGTTTTCAAGAAAAGAATCTAAATTAGAGAATACTTTTATATTAAAGGACCAACAATTTTCCAAACTTAATCTAAAAACTTAAAGTCAATTTTTACGTTAAGAAATTTTATAGATTGTGAACTTTCACATAGATTACGTTTAAGTAAATTTAATATTATAAATTGAAGACATTATGTACATATTTTCAATTAAGAATCATAATTTGTTAATATTTCATTTTAATATTTCAAGACTCAATCATACAATTACTAGAAGAAATTTCATTCCAAATATTAATTGATAAATTTAATTCCTACAACAAATGAGATTATTACTCATACTCTCCTTATCAACTGTCAGATACAAATTAAAAGGTCGACTATTATATATAAACTTTTGAGATTGCAACCAATTTGTGTGTCTCTCAGACTCTCAGATAGACAAACATGTAAGTGATTTAATTTTTGAACTATTGTCGAATTACTTTGCAGTTATGAACAGTGTCAATAAAACCTTAAGAACTAGTGTTTTCTAGATTCCTACTGGCAACATATTTACGTCTCTTTGTTGTTTCTCATTATTCGAATAGCGACGTGTCGTTAGATCAGATTACTCAAGAGATATTTACGACAATTCTCTCTTCAGAGAACGTAAATGGACTTCTTCTAAATTCTCTGGTTTCGCCTTGCTGAGGACAGTTTCTTATTTCTCTCCCCAATTACTGCACACAATCGTCAGCTGTCTGCCTTTTTTACAGCGGATAGCACGTAGTCATTTCGAGAAAGGTCAAGAAATCTGTTCTCGAAAATTCTCTTTCCGACCAATTTCATATAAATAGCGGCCGAAAATTTCTCCTCCGCATAGTTTGAATTGAAAAATCAAAACGAATAAACATAACAAAGTTAGCTAAAGTTATTTAGCAAAACAAAAGAGATTAAGAACAACTTTTTACCAAGAGCATAAGAAACAATTTCAGAATATTAGTGAATATTGAAAGTTTAATTCAGTTTAATTGAAAATAATTTATTAAAAAAGTACAAAGCCATAAAAATGGTTGCAATTGGAATAGATTTGGGAACAACATACTCGTGTGTAGGAGTATTCCAACACGGAAAAGTGGAAATCATAGCGAACGATCAAGGTAATCGCACAACACCCAGCTATGTGGCGTTCACAGACTCGGAGCGACTTATTGGTGACGCTGCGAAGAATCAAGTTGCCATGAACCCAAAGAACACAATGTTTGATGCCAAGCGATTAATTGGACGAAAGTTTGATGATACTAAAATCCAGGAGGACATAAAGCATTGGCCTTTTACAGTGGTTAACGATCGTGGAAAGCCTAAGTTAAGTGTTGAATTCAAAGGAGAACAGAAAAAGTTTGCTCCCGAAGAAATAAGTTCGATGGTGCTAACAAAAATGAAAGAAACTGCTGAGGCGTATTTGGGTACATCTGTAAGAGATGCCGTTATCACAGTGCCGGCTTACTTCAACGACTCGCAGCGTCAAGCCACCAAGGATGCTGGTGCCATTGCAGGGTTGAATGTTCTCCGAATTATTAATGAACCAACAGCAGCGGCGTTAGCTTATGGTCTGGATAAAAACCTTAAAGGCGAACGCAATGTGCTCATATTTGATTTGGGCGGTGGTACTTTCGATGTTTCCATTTTAACTATTGACGAAGGATCGCTATTTGAAGTGCGTGCGACGGCTGGCGATACTCACTT